ATAAAAAAATCCAGGAAAATATCTGGTGTTTTACTTCGTAGACAATCACTTCGTAAACTTTATAGATAGGTTTATACGGATTACAGACAATCAAGTTAATTCATCGGGGTCATATATTGATGATAATGAGGCTCGAATTTTTTATTATTAAAATAAATTCATAATTTGAAAATATTTAAGAATGATAATTCATTTTCAAATTAAAAAAATTGATAAGAGAACATTCTAATAGGCAATAATTTTAAGAGGATTAATATAGCTATTTTATATATAACCATCATATCCATTATAAAACACTGATTTTAGTCTATTAAATTCGTACGATATAAGAACCCGTTATCTCTGGTTGACTGTATTACAAAAAAAAGGTAAGACTACTTGAATTCTATTTTTTGTAATTGAATGCTCGAGAGGGAAAACCAGCAAGTAAAAAATTTATCCTAATTGAAGTGCTCTGGTCATTTCGGTAATACAACATCAATACTCAGATAATATCTGATATTAATATGTTATATTACCGAAATGACCAGAGCAAATGTGATCAATTATGTAAGGTCACAATTCTTCAGAGGATAAATTTTTACTTACTGGTTTTCCCTCTCGAGCACTCAACTACTATCGCTATCGCTTATTAATTTCATTAAACCTCATGATCTGCATTACAGCATTAGCATTAATAGTTGACCCGAGTAATTTTTAAATCGGTGAAATTAAAAATTAAAATTAAATGACATGTTATCAATTAATAATTGATGGAATTAAGAATTAAGCGTAAATATATTATACGTATGATCATTTTCTCCAAAATTATACTTATAGATTAAACCATTACATCATAACTTAAGACTAATCTATCATTATGGCATACACTATCAAAGTACACTAAACCTTTTTTATTAGATTTCATTTGATTTCACGTGTTTCACTAAGCCTACTTCCGAAATTTCCAGATTGTTGTTCATACGTAACACATTGGCACATTGTCGCTTAGCATCCAACCAACTGGTATCATTAATCCCGACACCAGGTCTTCGCCAGAATCTAAGACTAAGCATATACGTATTAGATTCTTTTACTACTTGTATACCTACTTGTATACTTTTGTTCTGGTTGGCTTTAAATATGCATTAATTACAATCGCGAGCTGTTATAGGGTAAGTTCATTATGTGAGGCCATTACATTTAAAGAAACTGGAATTATTAAAAATAAACAAAAAATAAACTCCTCTTTGGAAAGAGATACGTACGTATTACGTTAAAATGAATCGAAAAAAAAAAGAAAAAAAAAACTTGAATTACTAAACTATATATGTATTCTGTTCGTTAACGATATTTCTACTTTCATCAACAGTTACGCCTTAAAAATACAGAGACTGTTGAAATTATTTCAATTGAGCAACTGGTTGTTGTCTTTGGCATTTATCTTTGACATTTAAATCTAGTATATCAGTAATTATTTGTTGTACGTAATACTGTTTGATCTCAATCTTTTAATCTTTTGACCGATTAACTGGGTCGATCTCCTGATTTTAAAAATCTGTACATCATAATTACTACATCGTGCCAATAGTAAATGAGACAAACCATGCGTGAAGTTCATTTGAAGTTCATTGTACGAGTATTTTAAAATAAACAATAACGATGATGCTCATTGTACTCTTATTTCAGATTATTCTGTAAATAGAAAGTGGTTAATTATTATCCCGGAAAGGGAGGTCGATAATCTTCAAAAGCGGCTGACAAATAGTACTGTAGTATCTAATGAGAACTCACGATCTTAGTACTATATAAGCCTCCAAACCACAAAAACTTTTCATTCTTTTTGGAAAACTCGCTGTAAAGATCACACAAAAGAATGCAGTCTGTTTACAGATTGGTATCGACTGTAAATCAATTTTACAGAGAAATAAATCCTTCGACGCTTTCAGGTGCTATTGATGTCATCGTTGTTCAACAACCTAATGGTGATCTTGCATGTTCGCCATTTCATGTCAGATTTGGGAAACTTTCCGTTTTGAGGCCGCAAGAAAAAAAGGTGTGTACTGTGCTATTGATCTTTTAAATCTTTTATTTTTTATGTCTTAATTTTTTATCTTGGTTTATTTTAGGTTGAAATGACCGTTAATGGCAAAGTCGTTGATTTTCCAATGAAGATAGGTGAAGCGGGTGAAGCATTTTTTGTTTTCGAGACTGATAAGATGGTCCCAGAGGAATTTCAAACGTCTCCACTTACAGGACCTACTCAACCTACCTTAAATGAAGAGGTAATTCTTTTACTCATATAACTAATAACCTAATTTATTATAATACACTCATACGATTCTTATTTATTCTGAAGCCCGATTTTCTTGATTTAAGCGCTTCAAGCTCTCAAAACTTACCGGTTTCGAAAGAGAGTGGTAGCTATTTATGATTAATTATTTGATCTTTGTATTTAACAATAAAATTATCATTTCTAACAATTCATCTAACAATAGCTCCAATTTATGATTTTGGACGTAATAATGTTCTTGGAAATGGTATTAATTAATGATTGTTGTCCTGCTTGTAAATATCTCTTATATATATTAATTTTATATTGTCTTATTTTAGATTTTGGCACAGAAGAAGGGGCTTCCGATCCAGAAAACATTGCTGATTTATCTGCAATTTCACAAGATGCAGTAGTTGCTGTTGGTTTCTCATCAGATGATGAAACAAACGCAGGAAAAGTAGTTATACAGGTTGATCCTGCTACCCCGGAAATCGAAGGAAAAAATTTAATTAAACAGACGAATTTAAATATTATAGAAGAAATTAATTTAGAACAGGATTTAAAATCTGAATATGATTCCGGATCAAATATAATATTACCTGGTACCACTTATTTATCTTAGCTTTATTATGATTTATTATAATATATTATAATTTCAGAATTATTAACAATATTATTAACAAAGAAAAGAGCGAAATGAATGGAGTGCCTGACCATATCCCTCATGAAATACGAGACGAGGGTGTCGAACACGATACTGTCCAAACAAATGATACGTCTTATGATGATTTGTCCTCAACAATTGAAACTCGATCTGACTCGCATTCTGGTATGAATTTTCTGATAGTTGATTTATTAGTCAAAATTTATGAAAATAAATAATAATTTTTTTTAACTATTCATTATAGAATCTAAAATTGATGATGTTATGACTCGACAATCATCCGTTGATGGTGAACTGCTTGAAGACGAGAAATTAAATAATGAAAGGTCCTTATCAATGCCGTTGATTCATTCAAATTGTTCGTATGTTTTCTAAATTTGTTTTAAAAGAAATTTGCAAGCTGTAATTTGACCTAATTTTAAGTCTTGAAGTGGAACATTTTTTTTGTTTCCTTCTATATTGACTTAAAATAAGCTTATACGAATGCTTTCTTAACTTTTAATACTATGATTTACTTTTTTGTTACCTAGAAATTTATTTCTGATGGACATCTTTTAAATTTAAAAACTTTTTTTGCGTTTTTAATTCAAAATAGGGGGAAAATCTGAAGGTCCCTTTTCTGACACTGAGCTGGATGACCCTCGGAAACCTGAAAAAATGTATTTATTACATTTTTATTCTGTTATATTTAATATTTATATAATTCAAATTTCTTAATTCTCATGCATCAGGTCAGAACGACGCATACATGGAACTAGTCCTTTAAGCGATACAGAATTAGAGGTTCTAATCAAATTTTTGCCTAATTTTATTTAATTATATTTCGTAATTTAAACAATTAATAAAATTTGCTATTTCTAGTATGAACCTGTAAAGCATTCAAAGAATGCTGAAGAATGGTCATGGCGCTGGGGGGCGCTACCTGTCAGAAAATCTGATGAAATGGAACGTTGGCAAGAAAGTCCTGGCAGCAAGGAATGGAAAGATCCTGAAAAACAAGTTGAAAATACATCTGGTGTTCATATTGGTGATAAAACTTATTCTTTTGAAATGTCTCTTTGCGGTGGTGATAATTTTGGAAAGGATGAGGTTGGTTTCAATGATGCGATCATTCAAATTCGTTTTCTTGTATTTATAATTTTTTTTTTTTTTTTTTCTTTTGATCAATCAGAAAACAGATGCTGAGTTGTTTCATAAGCATTTAATCTCTTTCGAACATTTTATGAAGAATCCCCAACTTTTAAATGATAAGGCGCTGGTTTTTAAATATGAAAACCGGTCAGTACACATACAATTACCATCTATTATTTATCTTAAACATATTATTAATATCATGTGAAACTTGTTCAGATACCTTACATGGGCTACAGCAGCTCCACTAATTATATCTCTTGTCGTATTCAAACAACCACTTCCTGACTCTTCCATGGCACTTTTGACTAGTGATAATTCTGAAGATAAACGGAGATATAGCTTACGAGGATTTAGTCGATGGTGGAACCGTTCCAGTTCAAAGTCTGCAGACACTATAAAAGAGAATAGTGAAGACGAAGCACAGAATAATGAAAAAAATGTAAATTACGTTGATCTATAGTGTATAAGATAAAGTAGGGATCATATAAAAAATGTTTTGTGGTGAATTATGAGTTTACATAAAATACAACCTTTTAAATGTTTTGTTTTTGTCGCGATCTTATACTTCTCCACAATACCCTACTTTACGTAATTTTTTTTTAAATTTGATTTTAAAAGTACAGTCTAAATTAATATAATTGTTTTAATCTGATACTCGTAGGAAAATACTAGTAAACCTCAAGAAGAAAACCAGTTTTATGCCAAAACGCTCCGTCTAACATCAGAGCAGCTAGTATGTAAATTCGTATTCAAATGTACGTGTCTATTCTATAAAGATGTAATTTAAATTATATTTGGATTTGCAATAATTACAGAAAAGCCTTAACCTTAAGAAGGGAGCAAACACCATGACATTTACTGTTCAAACCTATTATCAAGGCAAGTCTACATGCGTAGCAAAATTATTCTATTGGGATAATGATACACAGATTGTTATCTCAGATATCGATGGAACTATTACGAAGTAAGTTATATGTTCAAGTTTTTATTATTATATCGTTCTAAATTGCTCATGGCTGCTTTTATATTAATGTAGGTCGGATGCTCTTGGTCACGTATTTACAATGATCGGTAAAGATTGGACGCATTATGGTGTTGCAAAATTATATTCAGATATCCATAAAAATGGTTATCAAATTTTGTATTTAACGAGTAGAGCTATCGGGCAAGTATGTATAGATAGGTAAAACGTCTTAGTTGCGATAGGATCCAGAAATTTATTAAAGTTTTAATCTTGTTTAGGCGCATTATACTAGAGATTATTTAGAAAAAGTAAAGCAAGATAAATATCAATTACCTGATGGTCCAGTAATTATGTCTCCTGATCGTTTATTAACAGCTTTTCACAGGTAGTCATCTTATAAGTAACATTCTTTTATAAAATTTTTATGATCTAATCATATTGTTTTTCTTACAGAGAAGTAATAATGCGTAAACCTGAAGTTTTTAAAATAGCGTGTTTACGTGATGTGAAAAAGCTATTTGGAGATAGAAATCCTTTTTATGGTGGATTTGGAAATAGGATAACTGTGCGTTTTTTTTTCTCTTTTTTTTTTATATGCAGCGTAAATTTCAAATATATAAATAATATTTAGGACTACAAATTTATTATAGGATGCTTTGTCTTATCGAAGTGTAAATGTTTCATCCTCAAGGATATTTACGATTGATCCAAACGGAGAAGTAAAATTAGAATTATTATCAGGATATAAGTCATCGTAAGTTTTTTTTTTGAATAATTGTCGCTCTACAAATATTTTTTTATTTGCTTACACTTATTATTATTCAATTCCGGTAATAGTTATTTTGATTTGAGTGATTTGGTTGATCAAATGTTTCCTCATATTGGTAACAAATGGGATACAGTTTACAATGATTGGAATTATTGGAAACCTAATTTACTAGAAATTGAATTACCTCCAGAAATATATGATGTGTCACCACCAAAAAGTCCATCTAATTCACCGATTTTAGGTAGCAATGATCTCCCAAACAAACCATTACGCATACAAACTGCTCCTGGAATACTTGAATCCTCTGTCTTAGCTTCTTCCACAGGACTACCTGATAGTGAAAATAACTCGACAAATAAACGAACTTCTGTATATATTGGAGGAAATGTTGATATGCCGGGACGAATGGATCTAACATTATATGGCGATGAAATGATAAGATATGATGATGAATTTGATTATGGTGATGATGAAGGTGGATCTGATACCATATCTGTAGCAGATAACCAATATGATGAGGATGATAGTGATTTTGAAGAAGACATACCGGCAGAAGAAGACATACCGGGAGAAATTGATTTAAGGGACTATCCATATTGATGTTTCTTCCTTTTTTTTTTTTTTAGACGACAACAGCATTTTATTTATTTGACTAGATGCTTATGTAACATAAATTATGCAACATAATAGTACTCAGATAAATTTTTTACGTTATTTTTTTTGGCATTTTACTTCGAAACATAATTTTGGATGTATTTTGTTTGTAAATACTATGTGCAATTAAGATTGTATTTATTATTAAATGTATAACAATAAATATAAGAGAAAAAAGTTTTATAGTATTCCTTTTTTTTTTATTATATATATAATTATAATAGTCTAGTGTTGGACTACTCATCCACCGTAAGGTATTGGACATTTATACGTCTAATATGTAATCACATGATATAACTAATATACTTCTAATCATTTATCACTAATTTTAAATATTAAATTTAGCTATCGCAGTTTTCGAAATACAGTAGTAATAAGCAAAAAAAAAAAAATTATCTAGTATACTGTATACTGCGTATGCTCATATATCAGATCGTTGATTTAAGATCGATGTTTGATTACATACATACGTACTTATTGTTTGAAACAAAACAATAAGTAAATCAATTGATGTGCTAAGGTAATCCAGTATACGAGTATTCGCAATATACGGGTATACTCGAAAAGAAATTTTTTTTACCTATTTTCAACCAATTCGAAAACCCACGTAAAAATATCAAATTTAATAATCTTGGATCAGGAGGAGGAAAAGTATTAGCAGATGCGCTTTGCAAGGACATTATGCTGACTCCTCTGGATCTTAATTGGAATAATCTCGGAACAGAAAGAGGAAAAGCGTTAACAGATGCACTTTGCAAGAATACTACGCTAAAAGAGCTAAAAGATTTGAATCTTAGTGCGAATAATCTTGGATCAGAAGAAGGAAAAGCATTAGCTGATGCACTTTGAAAGAGCACCACGCTGAAAGATTTGAGTATTATCAATAACAGTATTACCTTCAAATTAAAATCAATCACAATAATTAGATTAAGAAAGATTAAACTGGATTAAAATGCATTAGCGTAAAACTATAATTTAAAATGGTAAAGACTATAGTGATCAGTTCTACTAAAATCTGAAAAAAAATTTAAATCATATCAATTATAAAACCAATTAACAAAATAATATACCTTCTTTTTATATGCTAATAAAGATTTTCAATGAAAATTATTATATTTAATTACAACCTTATACTGTACCAGAATGACTTTACATTCACCCATTGAGTTTGCTATAAATAAAAAAACAATAATTAAAGTAATAATAAAAAGAAAATATTGCAGGAAAATATAAAATATTGAAAGAAGAAAAGCGAGTCATAGGGGGTTGTTAATGAACGAGTCGCTCTTGACACGCTCACGACACTAAGACGAGTTGCCTATGGTTCTTCACACAAACTTAGGATAGAGCCCACCGGAGTAAGTCCCCTCATCCAAGACCTAGTTGCCGAGTCAATTAGGTGGTTGTTTTGGCGCACCCAACTCCTCCCTATCCCCTCACATCGCTTTTTCCTTCCTTTTAGTAATATTACCTTAAATATTCCATATTTAATCATATCAAATGCAGCGATTTCCCACTTCCCTTTTATTGTCGCAACATATGAAACAAACTTTGAGATATAGGTATGCTTGACCGACTTATTAACTATAATATCATCTTTTGTTTGACGAAATTTAGTAAGAGGTGATTTTTTAAATGATTACATAAATCAAAAATTTATATCCGTCAAAACATTCAAATTCGCAGATCATTTGACCATAATTGGATTGTTTTGATAAAGATCGGCTTTAAAATTGTGTAATTCAATAGGCTAGTTTGTCACGTAAGCATAAAAATTTTCAATTTAGGTATATGGGGTCTTTGCCTTGAAAATGACCTTACGGTATATGATACCGTAAGGTCATTTTCAAGGCAAAGACCCCATATAGTTAAGTTAGAATTTTTAAATTCATCTAAAGTTTTAAAAAATCTGTGGTTTAATTCTACGAATTTGTAGAATTAAACCAAAAAAATTCATCAATTTGACGGAGTAATTGTTAAGAAATCTCCATTTAAAAATAAACAAGAAATTTTGATCACAGATTTTTTTTTAGAAAATAACTAATTTTAACCGGTGATGTTAACCACTGAATTAGCCAGGGCGACCACCAAAAGTGCGGGTTACTTGATAAGAGCCACAACCACTGCATAATTTCCTAGAAAATGGTTGAATCCTGTATTATTGTAAAAATTTCTTAAAACGAATCATATAACAAAGCAATATACTACTGGTTATTAATATGTGGCTTGACCCGCACATTTGGGGGCCACCCTGGCTAATTCTTAACCACCTCTAATTTTTTAGGGTTAGGTGCAATTTTAACATTAAATAGAGGTTTATATAACATAATAAAAATTTAATATAGAAGTCCAAATTTTTTACGCATAAGGTTTTTGGGGGTTCTAAACATTTTTATAACTTTAATTCCTTAGTATATTTTTGAGATATGGCACCTCTGGTGATTTAACCAAGGCGGCAAATTAGCAATACTCTTTTTTTATAGACCTTTAACTTTGAATGAATATTCCTCGACAATTAACTATTCGAATTTGGATAGTTAATTGACGGGAAATATTCATAACTATAATATCAATTATATCATATTAATATATATAGTGCCCAAAACATGTTGCATGAAAAAATTCTGTGCCAGGTTTGTCGATCATTGGCCTAAATTGATCAATGCCGGCCTGCATTAAGGTTTTGAGGCTAGCGGGTTTGGGTTAGGTTTAGATAAGGATTTAAAATAAGGAATTTTTTTTTTTAGATGTTTCATAGGCAAAATTTTGAGATAAAAAAATTTTTTTCTTGCCAATCATGATTGACAAAACCTGGCACAGAATTTTTCTATACAAACATATTTGATTCAAAATAAATATTTTTTATACTGTATATGCAAAAAATTGATAAATTAATGACATGTATGTAATCTGGTCTATTTTTCATCTTACTACGGATATACAGTATTATGTTCTATTCATTTGTGCACCTACTAAAGTTGGGTATAATAAACGGACTGCGATTTCATTAGTAAAATTTTTAGTGATCTTGGCCGGCTGACCAGGATCCCAATGCATTCCGAACTGGAATTTTAGAGTGACCTTCTGTATTAGAGGTGTAAATCGATGTTATAAAAATCGGGTTGCAAAATGATATCAAATTTGTAGATTGCTGCACATCCACACAACCACCTGATTGTTCGATTGCATGATTGTAAAGTGCGGCAAAGATTCTATTATAGCGCTTTGCAAAAAGATGTGAACATGTGATTTTAGTGATGATGATGGCTGAGAATCACTAAGATTGTCTGTTACTTTATATTTTCGATTGGTTACGTTTATATTTCTTTGAAATCAGTTTAATTCTTAAAATCTCAA